GAGAAACCAATAGGCTTCTCTCGCATTAGCAAGCCTATAACACAAAGATCAAGCTACAAATAACGAATCGGTCTGTGACCCGATGTCAAGTTTATAAAACTGAGGCTTAATATTCATCCATCATTTAACCGGATCCTCAGCACTCTGTGTTAGTGATACAGTATGTTAAGGAAATTAAAACTCATTAGTAATGACACATAACATTTCTAGATGAAGCACATACTCTGTTTCTAACTGAGATAAAGTGAGAGAGAGAGAGAAATAGGGGGAGGGAGGGGAGGAGGGAGGAAAAGGGGAAGGAAGAAAGGAAGGACCGAAAGAAGGGAGGAAGGGAGGGAGGAAACCTCCAGACAGTTCCACCAAACGTTTGTATAGGTTAATAAACTTTGAAGAAGAAAACAAACATTTAAGTAAAAACAAAACAAAACAAAACAACCCACAAACAAACCAGCAAGTGAACTTGGAACTTTCTCAAAAATCTTACCACATACTTACCACATACACACCACATACACATATATGTACGCACACATACACTCACACCCCTTTAGAACTGACTTCCCCATCAGCACCTTGAACCACCACTCCTTTTCCTGCTTGGAGAGGAGTCCTAAGGCTAATACCTATGGTTCCATTTAGACAGTGGAGGTTAACCAGGGTAACAGACCACACTCCTTACTCCCTGGTATTGGCTCACTGACACAGGTGTGTCTGGACAGTCCAAGAGAAAACTGGAGGGCAAGGACTCATTCATCCCTGTGTGCCCCGCAGTGCTAGGGTCTGCACGACATGCTGCGCAAAGCAGGCACTAAACAAGCCATGCTGAATGTTGAGGAAACAATATATATGTATTTAGGGAGAGATCTACAAAATTCCAGAATGGTACAGGCAAGTTTTCTAACTCCTAAACATCCCAGAGGAAGAATACATAGCCCAATGGCACTCTGCGTCCAAAAGCTTGTGTGTGCCCTTTAAATAACCAATCCATAGCTCAATTTTCTCATCTGAACAATGAAGATAATAAGAGCACCTAAGTGATAGGGTTTGGAAAGGATTAAGAAGTTGGTATAGGTAAAGTCCTTAGATCAATGCCTGGAATACTACACACTACAGAAGGGTGAGCCACTGTTGCTGAAAAAGGCTACTACAATAAAAGTAAAGCCGACACAGTACCACCAAAGGAGCCAAAGCTTAAAAGAAATTATTCTAGAAAAGCTAAGATCAGAGGTTGGCAAGCTTTTTCTGTAAAGGGCCAGAAACTACTGTAAACACTGTGGCTTATCAAGCCAAGAGGCAATATCCCCAACCCTTGGAGCAATTATTCTCCCTGAAACGCTTAATATGGATTTTTTGTTTACGTTTTACATTTTAAATTTTGAGAACCATTCTTAGTATGTGGGTCCAAACAAAAGCAGGATGGATTTGGAGCCAGAGCCACAGTTTGCCGACCCCCGGGTAAGATTATAATGATGATAACCCAAGTCAAGTTGCCTGAAAAACGTGCTGCCCCCAAACTTCTAAAATCCAGACAGGCCTGGCCGGCGCGGTGGGGAATAGGCCCAGGACCCCGCGTAGGGCCTCAAGAGCCGGCCAGGATCTCGCGGCTCTCCGGGGCCGCCGAGCCTCCGCCACACTTACTCCCAGCAGCGGCCCGCGGCCGACCACCGTCTCCCCCGGCGCCAGGGCCACCCGGGGGCCGCCGTCCTGCGGCTGCAGCTCGAAGACCCGGGACATGGCCGCGAGGATTAGACCCCTTCGCGAGGAGCCGGACCCCGCAGCCGTCTCCGCCTTCCATGGACAAGCGCAGGGCCTACGCAGGCCCCCGGAAAACACAGGGGGAGGTGGAGCAAAGACTGCCCCTGAGTGTGACCAGGCAGCGCGGAGCTGGGGCCCCAGCGCGGGTATGGAGTCCCGCCCCTCCACTCAGACCAGTGACTAGCTCAGGGATTTCCCCCTTCACGCCGCCTCCAAACTATTGTTTAAAAGCCCCGGTTAACCCCCCCATCCCTTCTCACCGCCCACCTGTCTCGGAGGACACCGGTCCTAGTAGTCCGTGGCGCCTCCACTTCTCCTCGCTTGCCGAGCTGAGATGCCCTGGGAAAACTACCAATCCCAAGAGGTAATGCGCGCTCCTCTCTGCGCCTGTGCGAAATACTAGTCAGCAAGGCGGGGCTAGAGTGGCCTGGACTTGAGGGACTTAAAGGGGAAGGGTTCGAAGTCCGGAAGATTTAAATCGTTGAAGGAGAGGTCGCCACGGCCCAGTAGGTAGGAGGGTCTTCGCTTCCGGCTGACTTGGGGTGGGCGTGCTCGGGGGCGCGGCCCTGGCGCTAGCACAAGCGTCCGCTTATCCGGCCGGAGCTGCGGTGACATTTGGTGCTGACGGTTGTTATTGTTGTTTACTTGTCAGTGCCCCGTATGGTTTGGACTCCGGCAAATGCAGTCTGGACGGGACACGCCAGGAGGGTGGCTCAGAAAGGACGTGGGGTCATTCCTTCCGACCTGCGGGGTCTGCAGGGGGTGAGGGCTCCCCGAGAGCCGGGCGTCTGCGCTGCCTTCCGATCCCTCCCTCCGTGTGACACCCGAAAGAGGGGCGATCTCTCACCTAACTAGAGAGGTAATTCAGCAAAGTTTGGTTCAGAAAGAAGAAGGGGCAGAAGAGGATAGGTTTCTAGGCATCCAGGCAAAACTGGACGTAAAAGAAGAAAAATGCCTAGTGGGATTTTAGGAACCTCACCAAGGCACCCCCATCTGTTAAATTCAAAAGCTTTCATCTGCCTCCTGTGGTATAACTGTAAAGGCAGGACGCATTTTATCCCCAGTGAGATCTTGGGAAAAGTAACAAATGTGCATTTAAATGCACGGTAACTTTTTCCTAATATGAGATAGAGTAGTTTGGCTTTGGTTTATATTAATGGGGCAGGAGGGTGGGGTGACAAAAACTTGACTCATGAACTTGTTTTTACCAGTTTGCTTTCTTACTTATCCAGACTCTCAAGAGGAAGTCCTCTGCTGTACTCAGACATTAAAATCCTAACCACCAGAGCTAATTTGGATCATAAACCACCAAATGAATGGGAGCGTCTGTGGTCTTGGCAAGTACAGAAACATATAGGTGAGTAGCACATCTGGAAAAGGGAATTTGTCATTAGCTGAGCTATAAGAAGTATTTAGCTGTATCTGAAACCTCTCCTGTGATGCCACCCCTCATTATAAAAGGAAGTGCAAAATGGAATAAACTGATTTTAAGTAAATATGAACTGTCTTTATATGCCAAAATAGCTCCATGCTTTCAACTGATTTCAGAAGCCTGCACCATGCACCTGAGGTAAATTAGCTGAAACTGGACTTTAAATTTTTAGTCACATGCTATACCTCGATGAGTTATAAACATTGTTTATAGTTATTAGTCACTTGCTTGATGGCCTCAGTGTCTGTTATCTTAATTCATAATTGACTATGCGTGTAGTGTAACTTCAAAAAGCCATTTCTAGGGGCTTCCCTGGTGGCGCAGTGGTTGCGAATCTGCCTGCCAATGCAGGGGACACGGGTTCGAGCCCTGGCCTGGGAAGATCCCACATGCCGCGGAGCAACTGGGCCCGTGAGCCACAACTACTGAGCTTGCGCGTCTGTAGCCTGTGCTCCGCAACAAGAGAGGCCGCGACAGTGAGAGGCCCACGCACCGCGATGAAGAGTGACCCCTGCTCGCTGCAACTAGAGAAAGCCCTCTCACAGAAACGAAGACCCAACACAGCCAAGAATAAATAAATAAATAAATAAAAGCCATTTCTAAAACACTACTCTTATTGAATATTTGAAATTTTGTCATATAACCCAGACCTCAACTTCTTGTCTATTTCAGTTAGTATTTGTGTCAAATGTGAGCACCTACCCATTAGATGTAAGTAGATAAACAATTCTTATATAAACTACTAAAAGTTGATCAGGTTTTTGATTAAGTCACAAACTGTAGATGAAGAATTTAATGACAAGGCATTGGTTCCCACAGACAAATATTAGTGAGTTAAATAGAATCGAATACTTTTCAAAAGTATTTTCAATCAGTGCTTGGAATCGAATGTGTTCTCACAATATTCGTTTCTACTGCTAAAAATAAATTATAGTCTGACTGTGAAGAATCACTTCTCTTTTTTAAGATAATGTTCTTTGGGAGTAAAAAAACCCCAAATATTTAGAAACAAACCCATTTACCAAAAATATCTAAAAAGAAGAAAGGAAGTAACGTGTTGGGTGCCTCCCACATGCAATTCAGATGTGGGGCTAGATGTTTTACACATTATCCCTGTTTATGCTTGCAAGAACACACCCCAGAGAAGCATCATTGGCCCCATTTTACAGACTGAGAAGCTCAAATCAAGAAAGTTAAGGTTCATTAAATCATACCCAGAAAGTATCTGGCTCAGAGTAGGATCTATAGTCTGATCTAAAGGGAGTGAGTCTTTTTAACTTTTGCCTTTTAGCTTACTTATGAGGATAATTCACTAAAACATCAAGCTATGAAGAAAAACTCCAAGAGGAACCACAGTTCAAGGGTTTCTGACCTAGAATTGAACTCTGCGGATGCTGAGAAGGAAAAAAAAGAGCGTCAGAATAACTTTGTTGAACTGCTGCCTCCAGAAGTTACTTTTAAAATTTTCAGTCAGCTGGACATCTGGAGTTTGTGCAGGGCTTCAGTGACATGCAGGAGCTGGAATCACACAATAAGACACAGCGATGCCTTGTGGAAACCTCATTGCCTGACTGTGAGAGCTGTATGCCAAAGAGAGATAGATGGTGATCTAGAGAGTGGTTATCCCTGGAGGGTAAGTTTAACCTATGGAGTCTGCAGTGTTCTTGACAATATGGTGGTCAGTGTGAGCCCAAGCCTACCTTCTGCTTGGAAAAGGGAGGATTTCATATCCAGAATGACATACAGAGTGTGCTGGCTTTGGGAGTTACAGTTGAATTTTATTATTCTTTTCCTGCAAACCACACTATCTCCCATCCATCCTTTTACATTTTGGGGGCATTTACCTCTGTTAACCACAATAGCTACTTCATTTCACTCTACCTTATCCAAACCCCCCCGGGAGGCTCTGTGAGTCACTCTGTTCTGTACACACACACACACACACACACACACACACACACACACACTTATTAGTATATGTGTATATCGATGTAAATAATCTTTTCAGTCCTCTCAATCAGCTTCTCTAGTTTCAAACAAACTCACTCACCAACCATTGACTACCTTCTCTAACAATGGTGGTTTACCTCTTTCAGGTAATACTACTGAGGAATTACCAGAAGAGTAAAGTGAAACATGAATGGCTAAGTGGCAGATATAGCAACATATGTTCTCCTATCAGCCTACCAGAAAAAATCATGTACCCAATGGATGCAGACACATGGGGGGAAATTCTAGAAGCAGAACTGGAAAGATAAGCAGAAAAATCACACACAGATCTCCTAACTTTGAGAGTTTAAAACTAAAGTGACTCTTAGTTTATAAAAGGTATATCTTTAGCCGTCCGTTTTTTTGTTTGCCTTTTTACTATTTAACATTTAAAAGAAAACTAAGTAGAACATATTATAAAAATAAAGCTTTGATTTTATTTTGCACTTTAGTTAAAAATACGTTTCTGGTTTTATTGTAATGTGGAAAAATCATGAAATGCTATTTATGTAAAAATACTATACTGATAGAGTGATTTCAAAATGTATTGTTTCATGTACTTGTGTTACTCTGTTGCAGTACTTTAATGATAAGAGAGTTTGATTGGTATTTTCTGCTTAATGATAATTTGAAAATTCAGGAAACCATTTGAAGAAACTGACTTAGAGATTTTTTTTTTTTTTTTTTTTTTTTTTTTTTTTTTTTTT